GGGTTTATTTTGTGCGTGTGTGCGTGTGTGTGTGTGTGTGTGTGTGTGTGTGTGTGTGTGTGTGTAGAGATTACAATTCTTCCTGTGTGATAGATGGAAGCAGAGTATACCTTTTAAAGTATGCATATGGATCGTTCATGCCATCACTTCCTAAACTCTAGATTAACTGACATATGAAAATAATTGGACATTGGGCACAAGTGAAATAAACTACTAATAAATGAATTGTCTTAGATATGTGAAATGAATAATGAACTGTAACTGAAAAGAAATATTTATAGCATTTTAAATGGTATTGTGGTACTTGATTTATATAACATTTATTATAAAAGATACCTAGATAACAGAAAGGGAAGAACTGAACAAATATTGCCAGCTCTTAGATTTCTATTTCTTTGAGTCTAACGGTGCTACCTAATACAAGGCATATTTGGCCATCTATTACCCAAAACTTGATTAAGGGAAATTTAGAGAGAACTGTTGACCATCGGCCAAGACAAACATTAACAAATACAATAAGAGAGTAAAGAATATGTACATCTCAATTAGAGACCAAACCTGGGTTGATGTTTGCAGTAAAGAATGTCAGTGAGTAAATTCATTCATTTGACTCCAATTTATATTCTTATCATAAATTCTAAAATATTGTTTATCTGGTCTAATGTTCTTCCTTTCAATTATAGTCATTAGTACCTATCAGCATTAATAATGCACTTTAAATTGCTAATCGTGTTACATGCTCACACTCTTCTTTCAAAGCTGTTACAGATAGGCTATCTTTATAGAGGCTGTGTGGTAGAAGAAAAAGCCAAAAAGCTAAGGAGAAAAAAAAAAAAACCCGGCTCCAAACAATCCTGAGCTTAAATGCCAGGGTTCTAATCAACCTGGATGATCTTGGGAAAGCAGAACTCTCTGAGTTCGTTTCCTCACTTAAATTATGAGAATTAATAGCAACATCCAGGATTGTAGTAAGGGTTCTAGTTTATGAAAGACACATCAAATGGGGAGTTGATTAGCCTCCTTCCTAATATGTTGGCAACTGTGAGGGAAATACAGATATATACATTTGCCATTTAAACAAAGACTATTTATTGAACAGGTGTGTATATGACATTAGGAACTTTCCTAAGGAACTTTTAAATAATTAGGGCATTTGGAAATGTATTCAAAGCATTTGGTGTGTCGCAATAATGCTACTGTCGGTTAGCATCAGGAACCAGGGATGCCAAATGTCCTGAAACATGCAAGACAGTTCTACACAATGAAGTCCCCTGTTACAAAGGCCAATGACACCCTCATCGAGAAACATGGGATGACAGATAAATCAATAGAAGTGCATTTAAGTACTGTGTCATGTAATTCAGTCTTCATTATAGATAGGATGGGAGTTTAGAGAAAATAAAAGAAATTATGGGGCTAGAGAGGTCAGAGAAGACTTCACAGAAGAGGTGGCATTTAAGAAGTTTCTAGTAGGGGATGATTTGGAAAGTAAAAGTCAGGAGGGACAGTACTCCACACAGAAAGGATGTGCCTGTGATAAGAATGGTGTGGGTTTGGAGAGGGGGCAAGGAGGGGCATATAGTGTGGGGTTTTTATGGGATGGTGTGACTTAGATGATGAAGATGAATGATGCATTTGAAGGAGTAGCAAAGCATAAGGTTGGATTGATAGAAGTGTGTGTGTGAGAGAGAGACAGAGAGACAGAGAGACAGAGAGACAGAGAGACAGAGGCAGAGGCAGAGGCAGAGAGAAAGGAGGAGCGGGGAGGGAGAGGGGAAAGACTGTGGAAGATCCCAACTATCAGGCAGAGAAAGGAGTTTGAACTTAATGCAGAAGTGAGAAAGAATGTGAGTGGTGAGCTGGAAGCAGCAACGAGGAAAGTGATGTTCTGAGATGACACATCTGAGAACTGTGGATGAGGCAGATTTGGAGAGTGAGAGACTAGTGACAGAAAGACCACTTAGGAAGTCGATGTTAGTGATCCAGGCATGAAGTTGTGAGATTCTCTATCAGAAACTAAGATGTAAACTGGAGAGATGTTTCAAAGAAAGAACAGGTGAGATGTGAACGCATTAGAGGCAAGGATGCAGAAAGAACAATGCAATGTGGCACCAGGGTTCTGAGTGCAGAATGTGGGGTGCTGTGATGAATGGGAAGGGAGCCTTGAAGTGGAGTCAGTTTTGTTCAAATCGATGACTCTGGACCTGGATTTTTCCTCTTCTAAAATAGTTCTTTTCTTGAATCTTCGAAAGGTTGAAACCTTCACCTCTTATAACCCAAGGACTTTTGTTTTAATATTTTCTCTGATTTTTTTTTCTTTCAGGCAAGTTTAATTTACATTTTAATAAATATTCTGGCTGGGCCTGGTCTTTCTAACCAAATTATTAAATGTGCACAGCCTAAAAGAACTACATTTAA